CTCATTAATGTCACAAGACCACAGTCCTGCAAATTGCAGAGAGCATAATCCACATACTCGGTCACAGGGGAATGTAGAAATGTGAGCGGGAGAAGGAGATTTGCTCGATGTGCATAAGTCGTAGCTGTTGACAGGCAAACTTCCACAGAACGGGCCTCTGAGAATGAATAGATCACTAGAGTTTATGACCTGGGAGGCCTTTTTCACAGGAGAAAAAGCTCAGTTGTAAATAATACAATCAACGATGGCTGAATTCCATTTAGCTGCTTCTTTCTCAGGGCTTTTCAGGGCTTCTTTTTTTTACACTTACAGAGCCGTAGTTGATGTTGTTAGTAACACCTGTGCTTACTAAGAGGCCTCTTGGTCTTATGGGCAGGCTGGTATGCAAAGTCCATTTAATGGTTGAGTCAGGACTTTATAAGCATGTTGACACGATGGCTCAGTCACAACCTTGCTCCTTTTTTTTGAGGGTTTTAAATCGAACGTGCAGCATTCAGTTCAGTACTCGCTTTTCATCCTGTAAGCGCTGCTTTTTGATGATGCGCTGGTTATTGGAAATCGTAGGACCACAACTGATCCCACAAGAATTTAACCCGTTACATTTTCACTTAGCAAAGAGGAGCCTGGTTAGTTCAGCGCACCACGTTCAACTCTGAGTCAGCCCGAGGTTGAGTGTGAGGGATTGTAACAGCGATATTACAACCACGCTCTCTCCGCTGTGCGCGCACAGAACTTCATCATCCGTGGCGTTTCAGTCCATTTCTGCTGCTGCTGCTGCTGTTATTATTTGTCTTTCCATCCTGCGGTAGCTGTGTGATGATGCACCATAGTGATGAACTCCACTATTCCCAGTGTTATCGCTCACTGCTGGTGGGTAGGCCATTATGGCATGAGTCACGGCTGAGTGCCTGGCTGTGGGTGTCTCATCGGCGTGTAGCTGTGAAATACATACGCGTGTTTTATTTATGTTTTTCTGCATGTACGTGTGAGAGATGGACATTTGACCATCCTCAGCTGCAGTGGGGTCAGTCTTTTTAGTAACTGCACTGTTAGGGCTGCATGGGGAATTGTTGTGTTCGTCTCAACATATAGTTTCCCCAGCAAACACTTGGCAGGCTTCAATATCAGAACAGTGGAGAATGATAAAGGAGGAGGCTTGAAAGAACAAAGGGAAATACCTCTTCCATAAACATGTTCATGGTTTCTTTTTAGCATATGTGTGTTCTTACCATTGCCAACAAAACATGTAAGAAAAACACTCTTTTTCATCTATTTATCACAACTTTACAACTATAAAAACATGATTGGCCCCAGAGGGTTGGGAAATGTTACAGAGCCTAGTCGGTGAATCCATAATATGTTAAATCTCTGGCCAAGTCTAACAGAAATGATCAAGTTGTTAGCATTTCTGTTCATAATACTGTTTTTGTCAACTCAATTTTATGCTGCGCTCATAATTGGCATCTTAAGTCACTCCCTTGTGCTCACAGCAATAAGCTTTTACGAGCAGCAGAAAATGATTTTCAGACTTTGTTTTTGCAGTTTTCTGCCTTGTAGCAACATAGACGTTGCCCCACCTTATTCCTGTTGAATGTTGGAGCAATATGCAGCCTGAGAGGAAGAGTGCTGGCACTACTTGGGGCTAGAAAAAGCACTGCAATCTCCTGTGCAAGTGTTTTGGAGGAAACAAATGTTTTTATCCCCTAAAACATCCTGATATTAGAATAATATTATTATATTGTCCGTGAAAAGTTAGTAGCCCAATGAGAACGTATAGGAAGGGTTTCACACTCTTCTATCACGTTTGTAAGCAAACAGAAGCCTCCTCAAGATGATATTACTTAATGGGAATATTATGTAAAAATGGAAGACTGCTCATTATGAAAAGGTTCACGCATGTGGGTGGGTGTTATTTTTAGGTTGGGTGGTTTTTAAAAAGTTTCCTTTTTGATTTACCAACACTCCCACACTGCAGGAAGTTTGCTTCCAAACACTGCAGTGCTGCTGTCCTCTAACAGGAGTGCAGTAAAGGTAATCGTGAACGTCATCTTATCACTGACAAACCAACAAAAACCTATTTTGAACAACAATATTTGATAAACTTGCCTCATATAATATATAAGACAGTCAATTGACCTCCGCCATGTTAAACAGAAGAGGTTCTTGCACCTTTTGTAAACACTTTGTCATTTTATTGATTGTCTTGGATAATCTCTTTAACAAAATGAGATTAAAGACAAATTACGACGCATGTCATCCATGTCTTTGTTCCTTGGTACAGCTACTGGCGCGAGTGACGTTGGAGGTCGAACCAAAGTCACCAATGTGACACTTCACATGTTTGTATTGTGATTTAAATGTCTCGTGATAGAGTGTTGGAGTTGTTTTGGTGTGTAGTCTCTTTTACCACAGGTATCTTGTAAGCTTGTTGTAAGTTTCTGTTGGTTTTGTCAACTGGTCTGTGAAGTGCCTTGTTATCCGTTCAGGAACGCCGACCGCTGAGAAGGGTTGTTTTCTGCTGCAGACTCATTACACTCCACTGTTGACACTAAACGGGCTAGCGAAAGGATTTAGAGGCCTATTTAAATGTCACATTCTCCGTTTTTTTTGTTGTTGAGCCAAGCCTGCTGCTTGGTCAAATGAGTACTGGCAGGAAAGAATGTGGTAACATCCCAGATCCCCCCTTTTTTTTGTTTTCCTTCTTCTGGAAAACCACAGTGGAGGACCGTAAGGATGCCTCCTCTCTTTGTTTCTTTTTTTATCTATAGTTTCTGTGTCTCCCTTTTATTTCTTTCTCCCGTTACGGTTGCTAAAACAAGCTGGTTGTCTTGTCTGAGTCACTCTGGCCATCTTCCCTCAGGCTCCTCCGCTTTCTGGCACTGATGTCATCAGGCTGCGCCACGAATGCACCATCGCAGCAGGGGGAAAAAAAAAAAAAACCTGGGAGTCTCCCTGTTTCCATTCACAGGATCCACATACCCAGATCAGCAGAAAAGAGTGGCGGACTAAAGTCTGCTCGCTGTGTTTTGCGGTCAAGGGAAAAAAGTTGAAGGATCAGCCTACTGTTGCAGACATCTTTAAGTTGATTTTGGCCAAATTGCACCGAAAATCTCTGTTTTTTTTAAGTAGTTTTTAAATAAAACAGGCTTGATAACAACAATTTCATCATGATTAATTAATAGCAATCCCCCAGCCATTATAATCTCTCCCTTTACAAAGACAACGGTACCTAAGTAATGGGTTAAAACTAACAGAGAGTAATGTAGGGCATGGGTTTTACTGCTGAGTGGTTAATTTTATGTTTGACAGGCAGACAGACTCCGGACACCAGTAGCTAGTCCTAATCTCTTTATGGTCTTGGTTTTTGTCCGGTGATCTGGGCCCTGCCGACTGGAATAACGGCTGACGAGATGAAAGGGAAAGATGACGGTGTGTGAACCTAATACCCCTCTGCCTCTCGCTGTTGTAACGAGTAGGTTCCGCCTGTGTCATTAAGCTGATTTCTAGTGTTAGTATCCTCGATATTAAACAGCTCACCAACAGCATATTGTTTGATTGCAGCGTTGGTTTGTGTATGACTTTGGAAGAAGGGGAGAGGAAGCAAGAGGTGGCCCAGGGGAGAGGCAGAAGCCAGATAAGGAGTTAGCTGGCTTGCTGGTTGATACTCGATAAGCAGCAGGGATGAATATTTCACTGGTCACAAGGCTGAGACTCTCCAGCAGCAACAACATCCAAAGAGACCGTTCCTGTCTCTGAGTGCGTGTATGTCCATGTGCACATAATATTGTTTGTGTTTTGTTTGTGAGCGTAGTTTGTTTTTTTCACCTGTTCCTTGTTCTGCTGTGCCGAGCCTCCGTTTACGTCCGCTGCCACTGCTGAATAATTTACAGCGATGTTGAATTAGAGAAGAATTGAACGCTGCCAAGAGGAGGTGTTGAGTGGAAAGAAGCAGGAATTTGACTGACTGAAGCATTTCAAACGCGGGCAGCCGAGTCACAAAGCGAAAAGAGTCTCTGTGTTCCTCGCAATGTCTCCAGATAGCCTTCCATCAGCGAAGACTCAAAGCATCAGAACAAAACCCCCTTTTGTCTCCCTACGAATATCCCGTTACTGAATGGCTCCATAATCATACATCGCCAGGTTTTGATAGCTGATCGGTAATATTAAATGTCGTCACTAATCTGAGTGGGGTTGGTGCTGATACTCACCTTATTTAGCTGATCAGACATCAGCCATGACATAAACAATCCACATAAATGTCAGTTTCTTAGTCAGTGTTACCATAAAATGCAGTGTTTATGACGCGATCTGTCACAGTGGGCTGTTGACTCACGCGCAGCAATCCCTGGTCTTTGTTTTTTCACTGCAACACAAAAAGAAATATAATCTAGGGTTAGGTGTTAAACCGCGGCACTCGTTCGTACCAACCAAACTGTGGGAGTAGCAAGTATCAAAAGATGTTGTTGAATGCTTTGTCAGCGTCTTAGCCTCGTTCACTTTATTCTTTCATCAGATATTTCGTGATGTAGATAATAACTTTAGCTAGTGTTAGTTAGGAAAAGTTACTGTGTTGTGTTGAGAGAAAATTAAACTTGTTGTTTAAAAGCAACAGTGCGAGCCATGGAATTGGCCAGGCACCCTTTGTCGCGTGTCATCCCTCAACTCTCTCTCAACCTTTATTTCTTGTCACCTCTGTACAGTCTCTATCAGATAAAAAAGACATGGTTGTAGTTAGTTTTTAACAAAGTGCACTTCATTAAAAGCTCTTCCTGTAACCACGTGTGCCGGATCTGTTGTGCACCGCGTTGAGCTTTCAGTTTTCTGATGTGCTGAGACTTCTTCACCCTAAAATATATGCACTGTTTTCATATCGGTGTCCAAAATCAGGTATTGCATGCAACTTCAAACGATACTCAGTCCTGTTGTGGTTTTATGAGCACACACACTCCTCACAGTGTATATCTAAATTAGTCGGGCAGTAAAATAATAAAAAAATAAAAAGCTTTAATTTATTGCCTCGATGTTATGGCCATGGTAAACCGCTCACTGTCAGTAACGGTGTCGGTTGTGAAACTCTGAGCTTTGGTCTGACCCTATTTACAGATACACACATACTTCAAGTGTGTTAGAGATTAGCTAACGAGATTGAGTTCACCTGTACTGCCTGTGTACTGTACACAAGCGTGTGTTTATAAGGGAGCGAGTCGGCTTTTTTTAACACTACCACCAGCTAGATCCAGTGCAACTCTAGTGCCTCGTTTCGCTGCATTGTTGCTTGACCACAAACCACAGTGACTACATATCACAGGATCGAGGCTGTGTGGCTCTCGACAGCTAGGGAATGTGAAAATCAATAGCATCCCTCTTTTTAGAGATTCTATTAGACTGGTCTGCGGAGATGTACAGGTCAATAAAGCATTTAGGATCTGGCCACTCAGCTAACTATTAACCAATAATCAAACTGTGAACAAGGGCAGAAAACACTTAGGTCATGGACATTTGTTGTTTGTTGAGTTTGTGTGTTCAAGTCTGTTTACTTAAGCTAAAGAGCAAACAGAGTAAACTCAGAATGACTGCAGCATACTAAAAGACCTTCTATTTGCACGACGTTTCTCCAAGACAGCGAGGTTATACTTATCAATATCGGCTCATGTCTTTAATTAAAGATGAGTTTCGGCACCTTATCGTGAGCACGCACATTTTCCATCTAGCAGGGATCTCACAAACTACAATTATCCTGAGCAGCAACACATAATAGTGTCAGACCAAGGCCTTTCCTCAGCTCTTACTGTACACAACCCTGTGTGCGCTCTTTCTCTCTGTCCTTAAATCCTCTATATTGTAGCTTGTTTCTCCGTATGATTTAAACAGCAATGTATGACCCTAAATTATAGGCCTTTTTTATAGGGTGTTATTAAGAAAGACGCGGGTTTTGTTCTTAAGTATGATTGACTCTGCAAATGAATGTTTCTGGCTTGTTTAAAAATGGCTGTTGGGGAAATAATATTGCCTGATATTCATGAAAAACAGACATTTGAAAAAGTGATTATTGCATTGGAAAGGCACCTCTCTGTTCTCATCCAATACACCACCTAACAGTTGGGGTTTTGTTTGTTGGGCCTGTCACTTTGCCAAGAACCTGTTTCTATAAATATCCCCAGGCTCAGAACTGCACTTCTCATCTGTGTCTTGTAGGTTTGCTAAGAACCTGTCGCCGGACAAGATCAACCTGAGCACGCTGAAGGGGGAGGGCCAGCTGACCAACCTGGAGCTGGATGAGGAGGTTCTCCAGAGCCTGCTGGACCTTCCCACCTGGCTGGCCATCAACCGTGTGTGCTGCAACAAGGCCGCCATCAGGGTGAGGGACCCTGGCATATTTTGGGAAATACGCTTATCTGCTTTGAGTTTGATAAAACGAGTTATACCTCTCTCATGTCCGCACAGGAAATATGAAGCAGCCAGATAGCTTAGCTTAGCATAAAGACTGGAAACAGGTGGGAACTGCTAGCTGCCCTCTTGCTTTAAACTTTTATCGCTTCGAGCTTCGAATATTGTTATATTAAAACCAAAGTACAGAGATAAGATTTATTTTCCTGAATATTTAAAATTCTGGGCTGATTTATGTGGTTTTATTTTAGACTTAAATTAAAAGAAACCTATAAAAATTCATTATTATGCTCATTATATACAGCCAGGCTGACACTTAAATCACGCCACAGAGTAGATACCAATTAACACCTATCTCGTACACTTCAAATGACTCTTTGCACACCCAGTCTCTGTTGGAGCTGTCTGATGTGGTCATGATCGTCAGCATTGTGCCATATATAATAGCAGACTCTGACACACCCTGGAAACAGTGAATGGAGACTCGTAATTTGCTTCGTGACTGGACTTTTATTCAGACCAAGGTCCACTTTCCACCTCCTCTTTTCCTCCTCCGCCTTATTTTTTTCCTCTGTGTTCAGCCTTCACGTTCAAATCTCCATTTTGTTGTTCACTACCCTTCCTTTGCTGCCTTTCTCTTAATTTATCTGCAGGCTTGATTCATGTAGTCTCTTGTATTTTGCTGTGTCACTGACAGTGTGTGTAACACTAATGCAGTGTTGCAACTATAATACATCCTTTACAATAGGGGTGTGTGGAGCATCAGGTTTCTCAGTGAACCGTGGAGCTGTGGTACCGCCTGGCTCCAGCTTAAAGTGTAGTGCAGTTTTTTTTTTTTACTGTTAAACTGGTGAAAAAAAAAAAAAGAGAACAGAGATCTGTATCTCACTTCCTCACTTGTTATATCCCTATCTCTTCTTTGTGTCTTCCTGTTACAAAGGGCCGAAACCCAACACTCTCACATCGTCATTTTAAAAGGCTGTCATACGCAAGTTAAAGTAAATAAAAGTTTGTTTACTGTATTTGTTGCTCATAAAATATGTAAGCTGATTTAAACGGCAATTAATGTTTCTGCTTTGGTGACTTAAAGTGAAACGCCTGAGCTAACACCCCCCTACTATGACAGAGGCAAGGCGAATAAAATGTGTCTCTAATTCAATTAGAGCTGTAAATCCCGAGCTTTTTCTCACTTCTTGATTCATGACGTCTCAGAGAACAAGTCGTTTTGTGGAGGGGTGGAAATGCATGTGACGATAAGCATTAATCTCTTTTACTATATAATTTGACACTGACTTGGATCAAGAGGAAGCATGTTGAGGATTAATGAAGCTCTGGAGCTGAATGGAAGGAACTGCAGTCAGTCTAGACTCATTGATTTCTTTTTCTTCCTTCATCTCTGAGCTACCTTGCCTTGCCTTGATTTAATTCTGTGCAGTTTGGTTGCCTGCAATTTGATTTCTACATCCCATTGGCTGGTAATTTAGTTTAGCATATTAGGAGGACTCAAAGGCCACGTGTTTGCTGTAGAGATCCTAATACTGTAAGGCTGAAAAGCTAAGCCACTGTTTGTGTTTTCTTTGACAGATACCATGGACAAAGTTGAAGACTCACCCCATTTCTTTGGTAAGTTTCAGCTCCTACACCTGTTGCTCACATAGACAAAAAAAGAGTCATTGATAGGTATTTCTTTTTACATGTATTATTATTTTGAAAAGTTTGAAAGTACCACAAATGAACAGTAGTAGGACAGATTAACCAGCTGTAGCCCTGCATAATTTACTTGTCGTCCATCAAATGTTAAATGACGCAGTTCGTCACATGGTGAAGATCAGGAAACAACTGAAGGTGTTGCCATCGTCATAGAGCTTCACAAACACGCTGTCTGCGGCCTCAAGCTGTTCATCATCAGACACCACTGAGTTGGGCTGTCCGGAGTTGTAGTCATTCATGGTGTAGCTGAAGTTGTACATCCCCCCGGAGCATGGCGGTGAAGATGCCAGTGGCTGGGTTGTAGCCACTACCGATGTTGGAGAGGATTCGTTGATATTTCAGAGTTGTGTCTTTTTCAAACGGGCCAACTGAGCTTCCTAAAGCGGTGGCGAAAGCCAGTTTGAAGTACTTGCACATGTAACATCTTTGAGGGCCAACAGCTGCTCGCCCTGAGCCTTGTTTAACTTCCAGACCTCCTGGCTTTTGTAGAGCTGCAAGTTGGCTTCGACGGTGGCCATTTTTTGCATCATGGCGCCGAGGTTTTGCTCAAGCGTGCTCTGTGTCTGTGTGGTGGCTGCCAGCTTCTCCCTCGTGGCTGCCACCTCGCTGAGCAGGGCGCAGGTGTCAGGTTGACAGACTGCCAGGCTTGACCCAGTCCCCAGGTAGCTGTAATTCCCAGTGCACAGACACAGAAACCAACCACAACAGGAGGAATGTACGCTCCGTTTTACACTCGTCTCCACAAAACCTGGATGTTGCCTGTGGTCCTCGGTCCTTGAATATATAATTCCAGCACCTGTTGTTTTTTAGCATGCTGTATTAGCTAATATATTATATAAGATATTACAACAAACATATCAGGGAAACACACAACTATAACACTATTTACATTAACATTTAGCGTGATTATCAGGAGCACATAATACAAGTCGCTTTGTATTAAAAGGTAGCACAATAGCACTGTTGAATCTTATTAGTCACTGTAGAACACAATGGTATCACACAATCAATATCAATCAATAGCAAAGCCTTTGAAATATACAACAGTGTGAAACGCGTATTGCTGTATTCTGTAGGAGAGGCTACTGAAGGTGGTACATACAGCGCTGAAAGCCGAGTTGTGTCGAGTTTTATTAATTTGAGAATAAAGAGGACATAATTCATGTAGTTTCAAGGTGTTTTATCCTGTGAGACAAAAGCTGCTACTTGTGTGTAATGGACAAAATGTAGGCGGCTTCAATATCTGCAATAGGCTGCAACAACCTTCCTCCACATTTATCTTTATCAATCGAATTGTACTGCAAATCTCAAGCCTGCAACATTGTAATTGGCAAAAACAGATGATGAACATTAAGATGAAATAGACTTAGCAGCCTTATTGAAGACATTGGTCGTTGGTGGTGATGTTAAGCCCATGACTTGCTTGCAGACCCTGGATAAAGTGGAGATGGAGATGAGTACCTGTGATGAGCCCCGTCCCCCCAATGGCCCGTCTCCCATAGCAACAGCATCAGGACAAAGGTCAGTAAATCATCAAATGTTATGCTATTTTACGCTGCTGTTTGTGTGTTTCTTATAATTAGGAGAATAACATCGAACACTGAATTCATTGTACATTACACTACACAAGTACTCAATACACTTTAACAACTTATGATGCTGCATAGTATTTAGTTCTTTTTATTTTAGCTAACTGCTTTGCTGCTGTAATACTTGTTTTTCTCTCTATGCGATCAATAAAGTTTATCTTAAATATATGTAACCGTAGCTTCCTGTTTGTCATATTTGAAGTATATGAACTTGTAATTATGTTCAAACAAAATCTGTTGGTACAGTACAGACTAGTAATAACATATTGCACTCACCCTGTTGCTAAGCACTACTCATCACCTTGTTTACCTTACTTTCTCTCCACCCATGTCCACCTGTCTGTGTCCTATGCAGTGAATATGGCTTTGCTGAGAAGGTGGTAGAGGGAATGTCACTATCCATCAACTCCATCGTCATCAGGATCAGTGCTAAGGCCTTTAACGCCTCCTTTGAGCTCTCCCAGCTGCAGGTCTACAGCGTCAACACCAGCTGGAGCATCAGTGATCTGCGATTCACCCGCATCCAGGATCCTCAGAGGGGAGAGGTCAGGATTTATTTATTTTCATTTGAAAAGACTACTAGGCTGTTGTGTGAGTCAGAGTTTCTTATCGTGCCTGTTCTGTCCAGATCCTGACGTTCAAGGAGATCAGCTGGCAGATGATCCGTATCGAGGCTGACGCCATCCAAAGCGCAGAGCATGAGATGTTGAGCGCCCCCATTCGCCTCATCACCAACCAGTCAAAGATCCGAGTCACTCTCAAGAGACGGGTCAGCCACAAACATACACACACACACACACACACCATTTGAATATATTCAGACATTCATTTTAGGAAATGTGATGAATCAGCCTTGAAATCCAGACTGCTCTAAGCAACGTCTTCTGTGAACAATAAACCCTCTGTGTGGCCTCACAGGCTGCAGGGCCAGCAGCAGCGATTCATCAAATGGCTAGTGTGCATTTAAACCAAAAACACTACTTACATCTGTTTTGGAGATGTGAGGATTTAATTTAATGCAGCATAAAACTTTAACACAAAAGACTTTTGTGTGAAAGTAATTAACCCGGTTGGTTCTTTAGGCTTTTACAGAACCGCTGAATACAGCAATTATCACAAAACACAAAGTTATTCTCTCCCAAATATGCAGGTATAGTTCCTATTATTATAAAAAGATATGCTGTTTGGGATTTACCCGATAAAGAACTTGTAATGTGTGCTTGAGGTGTTGGACTGTAGCTATTCAAAGTAAGAAAAAGCAGTTTAGTACAGTTCCAGTGAATTGGGTTTATACCGGGACTGGAATAAGAAAAATTCCCTTTGAGTGTCATGTTACATTATTCTGAGCTCTCCGGCCACCTCCACCTGCATAATGCATGTTTATACCAACCGGCTCTACCTGATACAGATTAAGGACTGTAACGTGGTGGCCTCCAAGCTGATTCTGATCCTGGACGACCTGCTCTGGGTGCTGACCGACTCCCAGCTCAAAGCCATGGTGCAGTATGCCAAGTCTCTCAGCGAGGCCATGGAGAAGTCTGCACAGCAGAGGAAGAGCATGGCCACGGAAGACCAGGTATACACAAACACAGATACTTCCGTACACATATAGGACAAATCTATCTCACTCGTGAATGGTGATTTATCTCCCTCTCTCTGTCTCCTCTTCATATTTTCAACATTTCCCTCTTCCTCCCCCTTTCCATGCCCTAATTCCACTCTCTGTGGAGAAGCCCTGTCATGGTCTGATAGTTTGTCCTTGTGTCCATGGATGTCATGTCTGCCCCTCTCTGTGTCACTCCTCTGATGCCATATGGCGTCTATCTGCCTACCCCATCTTTGTCTCTCTCTGTTGCTGTCACTGTCTTTCAGTCTGCCAGATTTTTTGCTTCTAAATCACACACACACTAACAAAATGTACATTTATCGCCCATGCAAATTCACACCCATCCACTTCCCACAAAACATACAATGGTCAGTGTGTTTTTCTTTAGTTTGGTCTTACGCACCATCTGCTGGAAGAATTGAGAATTGCATGACTCAGCTGTTTATTGAACCTAACAGTCTCTGTGAGCCAAAAAATGACACTTGACCCAGAAACAACTTAACACTAACCCAGCCTGAGAATACAGAGAATATTTAAAACTTTAATGCTAATCTTAATATCTGTGCTTCTTCCATGTCTGTTTACCAGGTGTCATCAGCGCCCCCCACAGCCCAGCAGGTGCGCACCCAGCAGGCGTCCACAGCAGCTGACCAGGGTGCAACCATGGCCAAGCTGTTCAGCGCCTACGACGTATGTGAGACGTCCCACCACCTGCAGATCACGCACCTGGACCTGCACATCTGTGACGACATCCACGCTAAGGACAAAGGTAGCATATACGCAGATCTACGTGCACTGTACATTGCGGTGTACATTTATTCACACGCATATACATGACACGACACATACACACACTGTGGTACACACAGAGTCCTTAAAGGGCAGAACTCCACTGATACAGAGATGCTTTACTTCAATGTGATATATAAAATAGTCTTTGATTCGGGTCCTAAATGTTTTTCTTGATTTTAATCACATTTATTTGCCTTTTTAATAAACCACAGAGATTAGTGCATCAACATTTCACTAAAAAATGTTCCGTCTTTTTTCCCTTTCTGCAGTGATCAATAAGAGGATAACGGGTGGAGCCATGCAGCTTTCCTTCAGCTCCATTACTCTGGACTACTACCCTTTCCACAGAGCAGGTATGAATCCTCCCGTAATACTTTAGCATGAAGGCATGCAACATATTCACTACCATGCAATGCTTCCTGCATCCTTGCTTTAAATTCAAGTTTTATACCAAGGCATGTACAAACACTGTTGGCACTGTAACAAAACATACAGTAGAACTTTCCATATTGTTTAAAGCAATTGCATCAAATAATAATAATAATAATACATATTGGTAAAATAAATAATACCAAACCAAGTATATAGAAATTATTTAATTACATAAATCGAAGTGCAAAGAATGCATACAGTGCTTGAATCTTGGTAAGCAGAACAAGAACAAAGACAACTGATGGATGCACAACTAATTGTACCAATTTGTGTCCTCTCTGACCTCTCCAGGTGACAGTTGTGCTCACTGGATGCACTACAGCGAAGCCACCAAGACCAGGGAGGGCTGGGCACGGAATTTACTCGACGAGTTCAAGTCCAATGTGGAAATGTTAAAGACTGCAGTTCGAGACCAGCAAGGTCCCGCCCCTGTGCACAGTTCCCCACAACATGGTAAACACACGCTTACACATGTTAAATGTTTTATATGACTCAGCGTGTTCAGGGTGTAAAATTCTGATTGTATCTCCTGGCAAACACACACAGCACATCATCCCTGTGGGTTTTCTGTCCTCCAGTGTCCCTTAGGGACGATGTGTATGGGCCTCTAGGAAGTCAGGAGAGAGCAAGAGGAGGAGGAGTAGGGCTTAGGGAGGCAGATGGAGGATTCCTAGAGTGGAGCTCACACGCACAGCCTCCGGCCCAGTGCTGCTGGTGCCTAGAGCCAGGTACCACGGTGTGTGTGCGCACAGCCGGGTGCGGTGATGCACACCTTTTGCAAAGCACAGAGGTTTCCCGTTGGAGAACTGAGTGGTCACTCTATTTGTCATTCCGTTCATCTTTTGTTCCTCTCTATCCTTCCATCTCTTTACTTCTCTGCAGGTAAGATAAACACCTCATCCAGTGCCGCCTTCAGTCCTCCTCCCACTCAAAGCCCCAAGACCCAGCTCATGTCCAGCTCTGTTGTTCTCAGGATAGCTGACTTCAGCATCTACCAGGTCACTACAAACACACGATGGCTTACAAACCTTCATATACAGACACCCTAAGACTACATACATCTTCATTGCTAACTTTGAGTGAGAGTTTTGTGTGTCTTTTTCTGTGTTGTAGGTGTCAACAGCCGACCAGCGTCGCTCCAGCCCCAAGACCATGATCTCCTGCAATAAGAAGTCCTTGTACCTTCCCCCAGAGATGCCAGCCATTCATGTGGAGTTCACAGAGTATTACTTCCCTGATGGAAAAGACTATCCCAGTAAGATTTCAAGAAATTGGCATCTAATTTTGGAAACATTCATCTTTATTTAGCAGTTCATGAGCTGTGTAAGTAGCTGTGTTTTTGTGCACCACTGTTTTGGCAGCGACTTTCTGTCTCTCACCTCCCTTCTGGATCTGTTCAGCCCATTTGTTCAGCTGTGGGGAAGTCATTGACTGCTGTGTGGCTGAGTGGACATTGATTTTCAGAATTACGCCTAGTCCTCTGAATGAGGAATCACCCAATTAATTCATGTTATGGATTTCTCCCAAATTCCCTCCATTAGGAAACATAATATGAATAGTTAAGAATAAACAAGACACACAAAAATGTTTTGCAATTTAAAAAAATGACTAACAAACTGGAAACTAAAGAAACACCATAATGTTGTATCTCTTCCTCTTCTCCCCATCCTCCTGCTTCTGTAGTCCCGTGTCCTAACCTGTACGTCCAGCTGAACGCCCTGCAGCTGGTTCTGGATCCTCGCAGCCTGGTGTGGATCAATCTTTTCGCCCTTGACCTCAGGCAGAGTCTAGAGCAATTCATGGAGATCTACAAGCTCAGCGACTCGCAGAAACCCGACGAGCATGTTGACATCAAGGTTGACGGCCTAATGCTCAAGGTAAGGTGGAATGCAGAAAGGTGGCCTTTGAAATGTACTCTCTGGCATTTATGTAAATGTTCCTTTACATACTTTCTGCTCTCCATTAGCTGGTGATTCCCACTGATCGGGAGGCCTCCTGCCCTCCAGATCTGCCTCGCTCCATCTCAGTGCAGACCTCAGAAATGGTGGCGACGAACACCCGGCACCCGGCTAACTGCACCCGCTCCCATCTTGAGGCCCTGATACAGGCCTTCGAAGAGGAGCCCTTCTTCTCTCCCACTTTCTCCTCATTCCCTCGCTCCTCCTCCTCCTTACCCCTCCTCCATCCCGTCTTCCAGCGCCATGCTCACGAACAAGATACCAAGCTCCATGACATCTACCGGGGCCTGGTGGTGCCGACGTTGGGCACAGACGCCCTCAAGATGCCGGCCGCCGCCGACTTTTGGGCGTTGCACTTTGCCCAGTTCTGGGTGGACTATGAGGGCACCCGCGGAGGCAAGGGGCGGCCGCAGCCCTTTGTAGACTCCTTCCCGCTCACCGTGTGGGCGTGCCAGCCTGCGAAGATTGTCCAGCACCAGGAGAGGCTTAGGTGTGCTGCTGGATCAAGTTTGTCCAGGAGCACATCTGGTGAGGCTGTTGCACGTCTACAGAGGAAACGATTACTAAAGGAGTATTACAGTACTGAGGGTGCAACTCACGGGACTGATACAACACCGCCACCCAGTAACGGACTCCATAAACCCCTCTCCATGGACAGTCTGCCTTCTTCCTCTTCTTTGTCGTCATCAAGTAAAGATGCAGGTGTGCATGTATTGGTGCACGTGCAGAAGCATTTAAGTGCTCAGGTATGTTTTTCATTCTTATATTTTTCAATACTCCATGTTACACGGAGAGAAACTGGGACTGTTAATTACTCTTTAACTGATGAATGTATAAAATTTGTGGCAACTGTAGACACAAAGCAAACTATTTGACAATGGATAAATGTTCTTCTGTTCATCTGTGAGTGTCATGTAGGATATATTTTTTATTTATTACTCATCAGATCTTTGATTTAACATGTGGACATTTTTATTGTTGTCTTTCGATATTTAAATAAATGTTGAAGTCACTTACCAAGTATGGTTTTGTCTTCTAAAATGTGATGGTTTGCCACTTTTACTTATTTTATATTGTTGTAAATTGAGTGTCTTTAAAACAAGACTAAGAATCTACAGCCATGCTAGCAGCTCAGTGAGACTGAACTCACAGCTGTGCTTGGAGCTAAATGCTAACGTCAGCATTGCGAACATGCTCATTGTGTGCAGGTGTGTTTTCCATTTTCACCATCCTAGTTT